ACCAGATGTTGCTGGTTGTTGATTCCCACTCTTATGCCTGTTCCTTATACTTTGAAAAGCTGCTTTAGAGTCTGTGAATACAGCCCATTTTTCAGGCAGCTGATGCCCTTTATTAACCAATAGAGCCCCCTAATTCCAAATAACTCCTCAGTCGAAAAAAACGCCGCTTTCTTTAGGCGGAACGCAAGGCATTTTCCTGTACAGGGCACGAAGACTCCGTACGGCGATCGAGATTACGTTGTGAATCCGTCTCTTAATATATACATTACTCCAGCATATTCTGTTTACATACCCTCTAACGCTGTCTGAAGGATTACTGCTCGGGGCATTGTCTTTTTTGCAATAATACCGGGGATATAAGAAAAAATGTTTAGTGGTGACAGTGGTCAGGGCGCTATGTTCCTTGGATTAATAGGTGACGCCTGAGCTGGTATCAATATACATGCGCATATTCTTTCTACGGCCTTCCCGAAGCTAGATGTAGGATTGGCTTGAGAAATGTTTTTTTTGTTTAAGTAGTGAGTCTTGGAATGAATAACTTGTCTGAAGTGAATCCGAAGTGTCACCTGTAAAGAGATCACTTCTAGAGGCAGGCATCTGGCTTCTGCTACCCCCTTAGAAGACCAAGACAAATTCGAAAACTGTTGTTGCGCGCTGCTTCGAGTTTTCTTCTTCTTATATGTGATATATTATGTAGGACGAGTAGGTACACCACAATGTCCCATCGACAATCAAGTAGCGGCATGTTTTTCATACATGCATCACGCAAGAATAGCGCCCTGAATATATATATATATATATATATATATATATATATATATATATATATATATATATATATATATATATATATATGTATATGAGATCTAACAGACAATAATGCCAAGGGCTGTATAGGAGAAGTTCTTGGACCCAATTTTAATGTAAATGTGAAGAAAGAAAAGTGGGTGAAAAGATACCTTCCCGTGAGCAGGAACCGAACCTGTGACCTTCGAATAACGCATTCGATGCTCTACCACTGAGGCACCGTGGCGGCTATCCCCCTAGCCAATTTATTGGGTGTATATGTGAATTTATACGTGGGAGTGTCATTCAGCGCCACCTGTAGCCATTTGGTGCCATTAGGTTGTATACGAGTGACTATTGGTCAGCTGCGAGCTCGTAATAAGTTCACGTGCTACGTGACGCCAAGTGGGCTCATAAAGAGTGTGCCACACTCACCTAAAATGGCTACAGGTGACGCTAAAGGTGGCACTATAAAAGTGAGTCGTGACTGATATAAATTTTGTCACAAAGTTACTTACACTCGGGTTTCTCATGACACAATCGAGCACAAGTGGACTCATGTGCGAATCAGTTATCGAGATATCGCGAAGACTGCAACAGAACGAGCGTATGGTTTCACAGTCGTTTTCACATTCCACTTTTTGTAGTCCACCAGCAATCACCTATCCGCAGGTCGCGGGTTCGAATCCCGGCTGCGGCGGCTGCATTTCCGATGGAGGCGGAAATGTTGTAGGCCCGTGTGCTCAGATTTCGGCGCACGTTAAAGAACCCCAGGTGGTCTAAATTTCCGGAGCCCTCCACTACGGCGTCTCTCCTAATCATATGGTGGTTTTGGGACGTTAAACCCCACATATCAATCAATCAATCACCTATGATTTAGCGCGGCTTCAAGCGCTGCTTTCAAACCGCATAGCGTTGAGTGAGCAGATAGGTGGATCCGTGCAAATGCTGATTTTACGCCATTTTTTTTTCTCTTCTGTGGATCTGCAGGCTCCTGAAACAGTGAATGTCGCGACGCAGTTTTAGCACACCTGTGTTTTCACTCGTGCACCAAGGCGCACATGCGCTGCGCATGCACCAATAAAGGCTGAGCAATCTGCTAAACGGGCTAAAGACAAGGAATTACACACTTTTGCAGGCTTTGGCGCGCACGTTCCAAACATGGGCGCTCTTGACATATTTAGCGCGAAGCAACTACAATGCCACCATTACTGTCACCCACCGGAGAATCAGCTGGGATGCAGTGTGGCCGCCTCGTTTATTCCACTGCCTTCTTCTAATGCACTGTAGTGCACCCTTCGCGCAAGGTTTGGCTGGTGTGGAGCGAGCCCAGCACGGGCGACTAAAGGAAGGCGTGCATTTCTACTGACGGGCCCACTGCCAGATTTGCACCCTAGTGTCTGTTGCTGGAAATTGGACATTCTTGCGATGGGTGGCCTATGTGCTCTCTCTACACAAAAAACAAAAAACTGCCATCAGCCAAGATTGTACGCGAAGCCCCTGAGATCGACCATCTTTGTTGTATCTTGCGCTTTGCACATCTAGTGCAAATTTCTTCATTTAATTCATGCGAAACATTTTTTGTGGCTCACAGTCCATATGCGGTATATAAGTGTATCTTGCAGTTCTCATTGCTTACAGTCTATTTCCTTAGTGTGTTCCGAAATACCAACAAACTGTGAGAGGTTGAGGCCATTCATTTCTTTGCTATGACTATAATGTAAGTATAATTAACATTCAAATATCTCTGGCACTCGTTGCTCTTCAGAAAAACAAATTTAAATACAGGTTTTTGGACGATAAGTTAACTTTGTAAAAAAACGATTCGAGCATTCTTAAGATCAAGTCTGTTTTCTTTTTGTTGACCTCACGGTAATAAAGTAAAAGGAGCCAAAGTGCTTACACTATACTAGAAAAGTATTAACTATTAAACCGAAATACCGACAGGATGGTATACCTCACGGTGTGTTCTGAGGTGTCAGAAAATTTAACTATTCCAGACACGGATATTGTCACGGCATACACTTACATGCCTAGTGCACACATGTGCACTGTCATGTCAGTAGAAGGACTGAAAGCTGCGCCATTTGGTCCCAGTACTTGAACATATTTTATCACAGCGCACGGCTACGCGGACACATGACACTACGTGATTTGTCCCTTTTTTTCTTGTGTCCACGTGCTCGTGCGCTGTGTTAAAAATTGTTCAAGCCATGACTGTATCGTGCCTCAGTTGGTCTAGGAATATTGAGGCAACACACGATAGTAGGAGCAAGAATGCACACGGCGTTAATTAGCATGCAATTATATTGTGGAAATACGTGAGTGCTATCCTAATAATGCAGGCAGGGCAAAGAGCATATGCCCGATAAAATGACCAAGAATGATGCCGGAGCATGACGCTAGCCTCAGCACCTAAAATCTGTATATGTAATGGTGGAGGGTTTGTTGGGCTGGGGCATATTTTGGCCACAAGAAAATGGGAAAAATACGTTAACATGAACAAGATATAGACAGAAGAATGCGGGTGTGAAAGGACACTAACACAGCAATATAATCATAGACAGCAAGAAGTTATGTGGCCGAACTTGGCTGAACGTTGGAAAGATAGAAGAAATATTGACCCTACATTGACTTTGCATTTTGACTATTGCTACGTCCAAATAACCTGCACGCATGACACGACTGTCGGTGTAGTTCATTTTAAAAGTTTTGTTTGCAGTACGACCACGCTGTAGTACAATGTAAATCAGGCGTAAGGAAATGAGGTGTTCGATTTCTGAAGACTTCGCCCACCCGTGACTTCACTTCCCTGTATCGTTTTTTCGCATATTGTTTTTGTCAGCCCATGACCACTGATCCATTGAAAAGAGACATCTTTGTATACTTTCAAACGAAAAGGTGTGAGGGTTGCAAATACAAACGTACCATTCCGTTTGCAACACTGTGAAAGTATCAGCAGCCAATTAATTATATTAGAAATCGTTCCCCAGTCAAAAATTATTCGTAATTCACATAGGGTCTTAGACTCACTCGTAGGTGTTCACGCTTAACCACGAAAAATGCCTTTGGACGAATGCTGAATAATACATTTTCAAAAAGTGCCAACACTGCTTAATGCTTTTTTGTCCCCAGAAATTTGCTGAAGTTTGGTAATCACGAAATATCCGTTATATATGAGCAGGCCGGGATGTTAAGTGCCTAATAACTTTTGAGCAGATTATTTATTCAAAGTATATGAGTGATTTTCTCCATCACATTGAAATATGACAAACGTAATTATAAAACTGGAGTTTTAGTTTGCTGAAGCCTTGACAGTAAAACACAATAGTGTTGCCTCACAATACTTTAACTTCGTCGGGTTCGTTAACACGTTAAATGCAACTGCACGGTGTTTTTGCATTGAGACGCTATCTATATTTCACTGCCCTAATTGAAAATTGGGCTTGCTTCTCCTGCTTAGCTGAACTCACCGCAGTTGCTAGACTGCCTTGATTAGTGCAATGTGAGAGAAGGTGATACCGTAAAAACCAGGATCCAAAGTTAAAGGTTAAAGTGTCCATTCTATTTCACCCCAAAAACTGTAGGCGTTGTATGAACCAAACTATATAAAGTAGTGTCACTTTGTCACCATCTGATTGAATACAGTACAATGAAAAACACTGAAAGTTTCTTACTTCTATGAAGTGACACTCTACCTTTACGTATAAACTGGTGCGCTTCTCATGAACCTTTCTTCCCTTTTTTGATTCTGTGCCTCTTTTATTAAAAGAAGAAAATGAGTCAATTGTATAAACAAAAATTGGGATTTATTCAAGCAGTTTTTCAACACCAATTACTTCGCGAGGACGTATCGTACAGTCAACACAAACTGCTGTTAATCACAGAGTCTGTACAACTTGTGTTCGTGAAACAGAAAAATAACTTTTCCTACTGGCATACAGCGTTCCTGCACAGTGACCGGGCTTCAGAAGAATAAACGTCACTGTCCGACCACTGGCCGAGCAAGTGCCCATGGGAAGATTTAAAATAAACCCAGATTCACTGTCATTTGCCCCTTGCCTTATTTTTGACGCCCTTTATGACGGTAGTGAAAATTATCGTGTGAATGAACCTGCATATGTGAGGTGCTCATGTTTTTTTTTCGATCTGCCGACTCATGGGCCACATATAAAAACCACTGCATATAATTTACCTGTTTCCTAAATGAGCCAACTAAACTGTACATAAAATAGTCTGGACCCTTTGGATAAAATAGGCGTTATTAGGAGAAACATATACATAAAATGATGACTAGTTGGACTTGTCTAGCGTTCCTGGCAGCCATTGCATGTACGTATTCTATATTTACGCACATATTATTCGACATCCTAGGAGTTTGCTCCTGTATTGGTAAAACAGAAATAACTAAAAAAACATTGAGTCTATGCATCAAAATGTTCAGCATCTCTATAACCACACATTGTATTATTCCAGTGGCCTTAACTGAATGTAGGAGAATCTCTATTAATGTCCGGGATTTACTGTAAGGTTATGTAATGAAAACATCTGTTCGTTTTATTCTTCTCTATTCATAAACAAGTATTTACCTTGCCCAGCATCCAAACCAGTCGTTTGTTTCAAAACATCCTGCAGAAACAGTGAATGTTCCTTACAGTTCTTCAAACGTAGTTCCTTTGTCATGTGAACCTGATACGCATCACGTTCTCTAATAGTGGTATCTGCTTGTGCTCAATTTCACATGTTCTGAATGTTCCATTTATTGTAGATTATTTAATATCCCTTCTTTGATTGTACCTTAAAGTGACGCTACCTGCACTTCAAGAAAAAAATAGTGGTGGGCTACGCATTTCGGTGAGTTGTTAATTGCCACGTATATGACTCTCTTTAAATATACTTGTGAGCCCTTTATTGGGTCACAAGGCTATTTGACTACTGTATAACGATCCGATAACAAAGTTCAAGAGTCTTCGAAGAAGTTCAAATACGCGGCCAAGACGCGCTAAAAGAGAGCCAAATGAATATTCTTTATCAGATAATCTTTCTCATAGAGTGCAGCTGATGACGTCGTTTGTTTTTTGTGATTTCTGAATGAACTTCATTGGTCCAAAAGTAACGTAATCAAATGAAAAAGATTTATACAGTTAATTTTCATGACATATTAAACACCATATTATAATAATTTAGGAGCCCCTATTCACTGAAAATAATTCGCATTGCCCAGTGCTTTTCGCACTGGTAGCCTTGGGGGGGGGGTGAGGTCATGTATATTCCTCCTACGATAAAGTGGAATCAATATTCACAAACTACAAAACATATTGACAGTAAAAGAGCCACCACCTTAGCGAAGCTTGTAGAGCATTGGAGGCGAATCAGTTGTTTCCTCTTGCATCGGCGTCAAATTACGTTTGCGTGCACCTTTGTTCGTAATTTTTCATTATTGATACGCTTCAAATAAGACCATATTTCACTTCGCTGCTTCATGTAATTCTGTCGTCACTTCTCCGCTTCAAGTTGCCCGTTTCATTGCTTCTCGTTTACTTCACCGTACTATGCGAGACCCTATTGCTTATGAAACTCTGAAACATTTAGGCCGGAGAGCTCGACCTAACAATAAAGTTTCTAGACACATACATGCATTGCTTAGGTAGCGACTCGGTCTACTTTCTCGACACCTCATCTCGATTACAGCTGCTGTCTTCTGCCCTCTCATGCCTCAAATGTGCAGTATGACCGAGGTCAAAGCATTACGTTGTTTACACTTGTTTTTGAATTGAGACAGGCAACACATATCACAGAAGGAAAATGTAAAAAAAAACGAGAAAGAGATAATAACAATATCCAAGTCAGACACAACGCTGGTTAGAGGGACAAATATGTCATATAACAAAGTTTTTTAATTATCTGTTTGTGTTTTATCTACCAAACAAATCATTTAGACAATTTCTCACGTGGTGCTTGTCTGCAGGTAGTGTTAAGTCAAGCGTTAGTAGGAGACTCCGGAATAATTTTGACCACTAGGATGCTTTGTATTGCACTTTTATCTCAGTAAATTAGTATTCTTGCAGTTCGCGCCCGATACCTATAGCAAATACGAATGCCACTTTTCATTGAAACACTGTTTTACATAGTTCTGCGTGAAACAGTCCTTAAGGTGCTATCTTTTTGCAGTCGTCAGCGGAGACAAGCCACCGTTTCCTTGTACAAGAGTAACAGGCACAAGCTTTCGAAATACTTCTCGACCTCCATTTGGCCTTTTTTGTGAAGAAGTTAATAACGTGACACACCCGAATCGGACATGGATTGGCTTTGTAAGTGTCTCATATTATTTACACTTTTCAGAAGTGACAGTATGGGCAGGGGTTTTCTATTTTCACCGTCGACCACTGACACCGCGCAATGTTGTCGTTGGGTCAATTTGGAGAGGAGTATGAAATGATGACTCATTGTAATAGCCATGCCATTTCATTAGCGAATCAAAGGAGCAAAATAAAAGAAAAGTTGCATTACGCATAAAGCTTTTCAATCATAAATATCAAGCTTTTATTATGCGGAACCATAAAAATAAGAACACAATATTTTTCTCTCAGTTTCTTTTCAAGCCAGACAGAAATTGCGAGAAATTAGCTCTTGTAATAAACTAAGAAATCTAGCATATAATTTACAGAGGAGGAATGAATCGTGAGCTTGTTTGTTTTGTTAGACGCAGCGACACAACCTACTGAAAGCAAAAGACAATTAGGCTAAAGAAGGTGCAGTGGACAAAGATTTATTGTCTGTGGCTACACAGCTCTAAATGGGGCAGTTTATGAAGTCGTCTGGCGGTTAACTTTCAAGTTGGTGGCTAGGCTATATCTTGGCTACTTTGAACTTCTTTTTGGCGCATTTACTCGCAATTCTTAAGAAAATAATTGCATGTGTTGTAACAAGCAGCTCTGAGTATGACACATTCATTTCATTCTTTTCTTTCGTGCTCTCTAATGCGCGGGAGCAAGCGAGATTCCTCCCTCGTTCAAGTGGGCTAACGTGTATACGCGTGGCGTGATTGTAAAAGCTTGATAAATCGCGAGTGGGTAGGAAACAGCGATGTGTGTCTCATCGCATGCTCACATGTGGAACGCTGCGCACCATGCGATGAACACAAGGTATGTCCTTAAACAATTTTTTTCGTTCGCATCTTCCTCCCTAAGCACAGTGACGTACTAGAAGGGCTAGGCAGAGATACCCGAAAAAGTATTCCAGAATACAGATATCAAAATACACGGTTTAGAGCCATAAAATTTATTTTGATTGATATTTGAGGGTTAGCGTCCCAAAACCACCATATGAGTATGAGAGACGCCGTAGTGGAGGGCTCCGGAAATTTAGACCACCTGGGGTTCTTTAACGTGCACCCAAATCTGAGCACACGGGCCTACAACATTTCCGCCTCCATCGGAAATGCAGCCGCTGCAGCTGGGATTCGATCCCGTGACCTGCGGGTCAGCAGCCGAGTACCTTAGCCACTAGACCGCCGCGGCGGGGCAGAACCATAAAATAAAGATACTGAGATACTTTAGCGAAAAGACGAAAAAAAAGTGTTCCGGAATACAGACACAACAATACAGGTACTGAAATACTTTTTTCTGTGTCGGGGATAGTCGTACTCCATACAGACGTTCGTTACGTGCAGCACAATAATCATTATGCGCAGCGCACTGAAACATCTAATTAAATTCATTCATTATTTTATCACCGTACTTCGAGTGCCATTAAGGCAATACAAAGGAGGCTTACACTGCACATTGTTTGTAATAACGACATTTTACAGCTATCGGCTGAAAAAAAAATAACTATGCTGTAGGAGACAAAAAGTCACACACATTTTACTCTGAAATCCGGATACTTGACGGCCACCGTATTAGCTGTGCTAAGTGTAGCACAGTTCAAGCGAAGCGCACGAACCATAAACAAACGAATTGAGAAAAATATATGCTTTTATACACAGCGGTCAGTATGTGTCTCTGACTAAAAAAAAAGAAAGTAAGGCTCCTGAAGTTCTTGCTGCTTCTGTAATGGCGGCGCTTACTTCAGCGATCTTCTACTTAGTAGACTAGCAGTTCAGGCTAGTTGCTTTCCCGTTTTGCTAAAGTGCCCATGAGCAAAGTAGGAGAGGAACACAGAAACAATGAAAACGAGCACTAACTTCCAATTGAAAGTTCGGTGTTTTTTAGAAACATACAAAAAAGCAGAAGGAATAACGAACAAAACAAGGAATTCGAAAGTAAACGCAGAAAGATCTACTTCCAATTGCAGTGTGGCCACGCTGGCGTCTTCCATAAATACTTTGGAGAAAGAAGTATCGTTGATGCCACGCGGCACCACACGCCAACTTCTTCGGCTCATTCATGGCTTCCACGATAAGCAGCAGTTTTTCAAAGGGGCGCCGCAAAAAAAAAGAGAGAGAGAGAAACGAGAGAAAAAAAAAAGCACTGTTCGAGAACGCATTTTAAAAACGACGCTGTTGGTTGACACCCATTGTGCAGTATACAATGCTCCTCACAATGAAAATATTAGTGCTGAAATTCGAAATGACAGCCTTGCATTGTTGAGAAGCTCAAGCAGGCGATCATTCAAACACATTTCAGCTCTGCATGAAAGTACATAATGGCATGTGGGTAGCAAAGCGACTAGCTCGCTTTCAAGAAAGTAGGAGTCTCTTTCGCCCTCAGCAGAAATGTAGAAATGGTGGGTGCATATCTCGCTACGGACTGCCAAGGTCACAGAAAAAAAATTCCATTGTAAACACGCCTCAGCTCATTTCCGAAAGAAAAAAAAGTAACGAGGTACTTATGTCCTGAATATTTATTGATTGATATGTACGGATTAACGTCCCAAAACCACAATATCATTATGAGAGATGCCATAGTGGAGGGCTCCGGAGATTTCGACCACCTAGGGTTTTTAAACGTGCACTCAAATCTGAGCACACAAGCCTACAGCATTTCCGCCTCCATCGCAAATGCAGCCGTCGCAGCTGGTTTGTTTATATTTAGCCTTCGTGCAACATTGCGAGACTGCCATCTGTCAAGAGAACGCATTCGACAGCGTACAAAAATTTTGGCGATCTACACTGCTCGCACCCTAAAACTATGCATGAAGCGCTTATATATGTTGCATATCGTTAAATAGGCATTTTTATTATCATGTTTTTTTGGGGGGGCGGGGGGGGCTAACTTTCTCTTCTAATAATTGAAAATTCGTGACCTCCTAAAGAAAGCTGAAACCAAGGAGCATCGCCACACGCAAATTATCGGAAGTTCGCCGCAAGATCTGTCGCAGCTTCCATCGGCTTCAGTTTAGTCAAGCAATTTATTGAGAGGCTCGCCGAGAGTGGAGGATTGTTATATAAACAGCCATGCACACTTCTGTAAATGGTGTAGGTAGGCTTCGCGGCATTTTCTATTCCAAAAACAAGAATTTTAATCCGGGCATGATGAATTGCATACCCTAAATTACAAACGTTCTTTTGCCATACTTCATGATGAGCATAGACAAGCAACGGTAAGGTTTCAGTTATTTCCTCGTAGTAGATTGTTCAACAAATGTATCAATAACAAAGCGACTGTACAGCATTGTGCAGTTTTTGAATACACACGAATACAAGAGTGCAATCACCCTGCTTGATTTGGGCAAGCGGCCTGAATCAACGCCGCGAACACTTCACGACACCGTATGGAAGACTAGACAAGCATTCTCTAGCTCAACAACTATCTCGAACTCTATACAAATGGTGTAATGTCATTTTTCATTTTCTTCATCTTCGGGAGGTTGTCGAAAAAATGTTTTGATTGGCTAAAATCTTTCATCGCAAGTGGCCGGTGTTCTCAGTTCAGGGCTCCCACAGCTTTTGAGCTTCGCTGGGCTTACTCGAGCAGAGCCAGCTGGCTCTCCCGATAATTGCTATCAAGCCAGGTATCCCACTGTCTGATTAAAGTGCTGTCCCCAAAATGGCAGAAATGACGTAAGAGACTAAAAAATCAATTTTTCTAAAATCAGCTTGTTGAAGAGAGAACAGTGTGGCGTTTAATCGATCAAGACGGTGTCGTCCTTGGTCGAGCGTTAGTGAGAGAAATGTACAGCTTCTTTTCCCACAGCAGCTACCGGCAAGGTATATATAATGAAATTTACGTCATGTCGTTAGGAATTGATGAAAGTGCAGAGCTGCTTCCCAAGCTTTTATCGTTGTCGCAGACAGTATGGTACCCTATTGCATACTGCATGAAAAAACTAAATAATGGAACAATAATAAGTACTTAAACAATTTTTAAAGAAATAGTAACAACGCACTTGAAATGTGCGAATTCAGTGAGAGATGTATGGGGAGGACTAGAGAAATTATGTTTACTTTGTGTTTTTTATTTTGTGAAACGTCAGGTGGGTAAACAAAATGTTTCCACACATGCAGCCGACTCATTGCTTGTCTTTCAGGAATTTAAAAACTTGTACGTATATGGAAGTTATGAGGCGTTTGTGCTCATTTATTTTCAGGCATAACACAATGCTGCTGTCATTGAACCTGAAAACCATGTTCATGTTCCTGATACAAGAAGTAGCTGACATAGGTGACGCCTTCAAACAGGTTTCATGAACCCTATTGAACGTCAAGTGGCCTTGCGAGAGTGCCGCTTCGAGTGCTCGAGGCAAATGGCAGTAAAGCTTCACCAACAGTTTCCAAATGCTTGTTTAGCACTTTCGAGGCAGCATGCCCTCACTCCACGTGACAAAGAAAGCGTGAGAAGTCGTGAAAGATTACTCAAGCTACCACACCATTCTTTAAATGCGAAGCATTTCTTAGCGAACTTCGGCGACATAGAGCGTATCTATCTATCTAGCCGCCCACGACTTTTAACTCTCCTGGCCGTTTCAATAATGGTATCGATACCAAACTTGCTATGGTGTATCATGAGTGTATAAAGATCATATTTGACCAGTCATAACATGAAAATCATGATATGTCTGTCGTGAATGACATGATATACATTTCATATTCTTGATGCTCTTGTGGTGGTTTCATTCATATTACATGTTGCAAAACTGGCATGGTATGACATAATTGCATGGCGAACACAAGCGACCAACCCTAACATGAAAATCATGACATGCGTGTCATGTAACATGACTACATGCCACGCTCATTATGCGCTCGCGGCCGTTTCGATAGGGTCACATATGCCAAATCTAGTATTATGGTACGTGAATGGATGACAAAGGTATGCGACTGGTGCAAACATGATAGTCATGAGATGCCTGTCATGTAACAACATGACTACATGCTAAGCTCATGTAGCGGCCGTTTCGCTAGCTTCACATGTATCAAATTCGCTATTACGGGACACGAATAGACTACATAGGTATATGACGCATCCAAACATGATCATCACGACATGCGTGTCATGTAACAACGTGACTACATGCCACACTAATTTATTTATTTATTTATTTATTTATTTACAGGTTCTGCAGGCCTATACTTAGGCCCAAGCAGGAGGGGCAAAAACAACAACAAAAAAAAAAGTACAATGTCACAGCACTTAATTAGACAACTTATAGTGCACTTGCACAACAGAGTTACGGCACATAAACAGTGATCAGAACACTCATGCGCAGCAGAAGTCAACTAACTACATTACTCGGGCACTGCGAATACACACCATATGGATACATCATTCAGAACTAAACAAAAAAAGTTTCAAGCTGTTTTCAATATCTTCGGACTGAAAAGCACTTATTGGTAAAGAGTTCCAGTCAGCAATAGTCCTAGGGAAAAAACTATTTTTAAAAGCAGTGGTACGGGCAAAAACTGGCGCCAATGAATATTTATGCTTATGTCTTGTTTTTCTAGAAGATAGAGGTTTCACACAGTTGGGCAGACTTGTTGTAACTTTACCGGAAAGAATTTTGTGTAGGAACGTTAACCGATTAATTTTCCTGCGAATTTCCAGTGTTTGGATATCATTTAGTTGCATAAGTTGTGTTGGCGAATCATATCTTTTATATTTACTAAATATAAATCTGACAGCCTTCCGTTGAACTTTTTCAATCAAGGCAATATCTTTTTTACATTGAGGGTCCCAAACAACCGAGGCATATTCAAGTTTTGATCGGATGCAGGTGTTATATGCCAATAATCTAGTCTCCTTCGTTGAGGATTTAAGTTTCCTCTTAAGAAACCACAGTTTCCTAAGTGCAGCCGTGCATATGCTTGCGCTCGCGGCTGTTTCGCTAGCTTCACATATGCAAAATTGGTATCACGTGACGTCAATGAATGAAGAAGGCATGTGACTGGTACAAACATGATAATTATGAGGTGTATGTCGTGAGAGAACATGACTACATGTCACAGTCAAGGCACCGATACATTTCGACGTGACGCGGTGCGCGTGCTCATCGGCGTTCGTTTCGTTGCTCCACGCGGGTTTTGCCACGCCAGGTGCTGGTCCTACCGTAAACTCGCATGCGCGCGCTGCGCTGCGTTGCTTCCACGCATGCGTGTTTCAGCGCGTCCGGCGTCCTTTCGTGGTGCGTCCGAAACACATCATGCCTGGCTTTCTGGCACACCGCGGAAACATCTAATAATACTTCTTCTGCACGCCCAAATCCACTCTTGGCACACGAGACACTGAAAAATTTGTCACTACTGCTTTCAAATGCTGAAGGTGAGCGCCTGTTTTTTTGTGTACGCCTAAAGAGGTGGTGCCAACGAATTTCCAGGCTATAACAAGTTTGCCGTGGGTTTCCTCTCTATTCAAATAAGACACTCCACACAAATTGTAAGATGCACAAGAGTTTCAAATGTATAATAATTCACTTTCAAAGCAGACTTAAATACTGATTTTTCCTATGGGAACCCATCGCTAGCACGTTGAACACAAACGCAGCTCTGTATGAAGGGCAGTTAAAGTTGTGGTAACCTCACACCAGATCCGTAGTGACGTGAGCAAGTTACACTATAGACGTGAGTGGCATCCAGATATTCGAAACCTACGAACCTGAAAAGGATAGGTTGCTACATAACTGGTGGCTGCTGTGGCTAGCAATGGGAACTTTCGACGCGTTTCTCTTGCTGGTGCTTGAGTGTCATGAGCGTTCCAGAGCAGACGATACTCAGAACGACGTGCGTCATACCTTTGTGTGATCACGCGACCATATCACCGACACTGCGACGTCAAGCATAAACAACCATATATATAGTTATAGTTGGAACTTCCGAAATAACAAAGATCGATTTATATTCCATTCCAATACAGTACATTAAACTGCCAATTTCTTCCTACAAAAGCTACTATAGCGTCCAGACGGCGAAGTTTTATTTACAGAACACATTAACAAAGTTACAAATACTACCGAGATGTAACCATTGTGTTCAATTGTTGCATCACAGTCATAAACCAAACGGGTTGTACTGTGACAGGCTCCTATTTAATGTGAGTGTTTAATTGTTTTGTATATTTAAATTTAATTTTTCCAATGCTCTCTTTTTTTATTTTAACTCAGCATGTATGGGTACTTTGATTCGTCATTTATTTTATTTAAACTTTGCAGAATTTGAAGAGGCCGCACTGCACATTATGCTGTGCTGGGAAAGACAGGACAGGAAATATATACTACAATGTATCAAAATTGTCGACACGTTCATGCTCCAATCTGGTAAGCGCATTACCATTTAGATTAGAGTTGAGGTACAACGCTCAATAACTGATATGCATTCACAGCAAAATCGGGAGTTTTTTCGTCGTGACGGTCTTCTTAAATATTTGTTATGAAAGTAAATTTTGCTTTAATTTTAACAATAAGAATATGTTGGGTTTCATGCCTCAAAACCACAATAGGATTATGAAAGACGCCGTAGTGGATGGCTTCAAAAGTTTTGCCATCTGGTGTTCTCAGACATGCACTAACATCGCACAGTACATGGCCCTCTACCATTCCGCCTGCATTTAAAGGCGATCAGCACGGCCGGTATTGAACCCGCGACCTATCGACTTCGCAGCCGAGCATCCTATAGCCACTGATTCACCCAGGAGAATGGCTCTTAGTTTTGTTTTAGCTACAAAATGCTCTTGTATCTAGACGTTTGCACGGACAGTGTTTTCAACCGCAAACACAAGTGTTGACTCAACATACGAAACGTTTCGGCCAAAAATCTCAGTTTGATTACACAGCAGAACTGAATGATTACTGAATGAGTACTATGAACTGCTTAAGGAAAGAGAAGAGGGCAAAACAACACAAGGATAAACCAGCACGCATAGCACGTTTTTTGTCTGTCTTTGCATTGTTTAGAGCTACCAACTACCCTAAGACAAAGCATGTTGGTGCTGAAGATGGTTTCAGGCATTAAAAGTTTCATTACTCTACTGACTGAAATTGTGTTTTGTGACATGCAGTCAGAACCTCAGAGGACACGCTATCGTGTACGGGGCATACCACGTAGTAAATTGACGACTACGAAAACTCGAGAGAACAAAATTATCTACTTCTGCATATATAAGAAGAATGGCGATTTGGGCTAGTTGGTTTGAATTCATGATAATAAGGGTTGCAGCGCGAGCACGAGTGTGCTAGAAGAAACAGACGAAAGTCGAGGTACGGAAGGCAAAGAGGACAGCACGAGCGCTGCATATATCGCACATCTTGAGGATCAATTTCATGCAAAACGGATAACAAGAAGCCTATATCATTTTTGTTTGAAGCCAATAATTTGAAGCTGAATCAATGTCGACACTCTAAAAAAATATTGAGTAAACAGGGTGTCTTTTTCTCCCACAACAATAATCGTCATCAGGCTTGCGTGTGCTTCCTTTCTTGAAAACTCGGTGCTGGCCACTTTCCTATCGAGAATGCAATGTAACCCTGATAATGGGCATGTCGATCCTGACCGGAATGTACCGCGCGCGCAGTGATAGCGCAAGGGTGGAACGCAATATAGATGACGATTATTGTTGTGGAACGAAAAGACACCCTTTTTACTTGCTTTTTTTAGAGTGCATGTGTTAATTCAGCAGTTTTACGCACATCGTGCGTTTGCCAGGCGCGTCGACTACACTGTTGTGTATAGGACAGCTCATGTTTCTTGACAACGTTGGCACTCATATTACTTCAGCTATGCATACGTCATGCGTCAGTTTTGTAGCACTGAAGAGCATGCGCTGATGGGCGTGTGGTAAGTAGCAGTCGTCGGCATGCATGAGCAAAGCTCGACTCTGGCATGCGTGGTCATTGTTATACATATTTTTAAAGGTTTACGGTAAACTTTGCCACCACTATGCCGTCGTACTGACATGACACTTGCGCAAGTCTTGTTCCTCAGTAGTTTGAAAACTATGTCGTGGTTTTCTAGTAGCATACCTTCTAGCAACGTAAACTGTTTCGGTTCGACTCTGGCTCAAACCAATTTTCATTACTTAGCATTCATTGCAATTTTTCACTCCCCAACAACGCCACTAGAGCCAGCATCGATTTTCTACAATAGATAGATAGATAGATAGATAGATAGATAGATAGATAGATAGATAGATAGATAGATAGATAGATAGATAGATAGATAGATAGATAGATAGATAGATAGATAGATAGATAGATAGATAGATAGATAGATAGATAGATAGATAGATAGATAGATAGATAGATAGATAGATAGATAGATAGATAGATAGATAGATAGATAGATAGATAGATAGATAGATAGATAGATAGATAGATAGATAGATAGATAGATAGATAGATAGATAGATAGATAGATAGATAGATAGATAGATAGATAGATAGATAGATAGATAGATAGATAGATAGATAGATAGATAGATAGATAGATAGATAGATAGATAGATAGATAGATAGATAGATTATATTTAGTTTTTTGCATAAGCATGCGTGTAACAAGATAGCATAGTATTTAATTCCTCGAACTTTGTTGAACCACAGCTTTAACTGGCTCCGCTGTAACATCGGCTGTTCGCGCTTTCATACTAGCAGCGACGACAACCTATCGCAGCATTTTATTTCCAGATTTATCATCGAAAGTTCTTTAGATTACGTGAAAAATACTTGGATTTTTGTTTTACTGGCCATATTCAGGCTAATATATACCCTTTGAACAAAGTATGAACGTAATGCGCTCCTTGGCTTAACTCTTCTGATTCTTTCAAAAAGTAAACGCCTTCATAATAAGTAATATTCACTTGACGTATTTTTTCTACATAGATGCTACAGAGACAGCTTTATCTGTTTACCTCAGTTGGCACCCTCAGTGAAAGCAGAAATGCAATCTTGTCAACTGCAAGCGAGTAGCGCTTTTCTAAGCTTGTGCTGAAATTTTTTCAGGTCGTGAAAAATAAATCTGTGATTTGCCACATTTACGTTTCGGTCCATGATTTAGAGTAGATAGACGTGGGCCCATTTTCACGAGCTGATAAATACTCCTTCTCTGTGTACTTTGTATCAGTGTTCCACTTTTCTAATATTTTCGGCACTTTTTTTTACGGAAGGACTGAAAACACGCGAGCAGGCTTCAGGTCTCTTTTCATAACGCAGTATTTGTCATAATGAGCCCATACGAGTTCACGTACTGTCCAACTTTTGCTTTGTTTTCTCTGTAAGCCTCCTCGTTCAGCAGTTCTCTGACATGCAGACTCAGCGTTGCGAAGGCAGGCAGTGAGCGCGAACTTTTTCACTTGTTGATATGACCTACGACGAAAAAATTCTCTTGCTTTCTCAAAGCAGGCATCATTCAGGGCACTCATTATGGTATGCACATGGATACTAAACACTTACGACGATTAAGTTTCAGTTCTTCCAGTTAGCAGCACATAATATTCTCGTGTTACGAAACTGATATCACCTTCTCTGGTTAGCAGAACACCAAACCACTTTGAAATGAAAAGAAAACAGTAAAAGGCCAAGATTATCGTTTCCTTTAGCCTTGCTATAGTTGAATAAGCGTGATTGCTCATATGTGCCCATAATCCACGTAAAGTAACATTTTTAGGCCTTTACAAAAATCTCTACATTCAACAATAAGACGTGAAATCCCCGACGGACAATAAATATTGCTAAGTCTAGAGATAAATTTCTCGGGCTGACATCACAGCATAATAGTGAGGAATAGCTAAGCGCCTCAGTCAATCCAGTGAAGAAATAGAGAGGGCAGGGAGGGGGGGGGGCATGGCAAATGGGAAAGCAAGCAAGTAATATCTGAGCATTCTTCTGCATGTTTTAGCAGAGTGAACAACGGAGCGCATTTTTACGCCGCCTGTTCAACAAGGCTAAAGCCAGTGTCAATCGAGCATGGGCTTTGGATAACGCTCGCACGCTCGTCCACTGTGCATGCTTCCCTGAGGAGACGAAATGAACGGGTGAGCGGCTCGCTCCGTAAAAATGCTGGCTGTGCCAGCATGCCATGCGAATGTGCACGGCAGAAAAAAAGAAAAAGTTGCAAAAAAAGAAAGGCTATCCAGGTGAGCTCTTCCTTCATGCTTCCAACCACTATTGCGAAGATGCCACAATTTTTTCGTCGATGTTGTTCTGCAGCGAAGCATCAAGCATTGTTGCAGAGTTCCTGCTCTGTACGAGCTGCATGACCTCATGTGCACGTTTTTTGTACGGCCATGTTATATACGAACTTCACGTGTGGAAGGAAAGCATCCGACATCTTGCATATGACGTCAACGTACGTGGTGGGCATGTCAGCAACGCTTGGTCAGGCGATTGGTTTGTGGCAATAGTCAGGTGGTGGCTTGTTCGAATGTATCACATGATTGTTTTACTCAAGTCAGCAGTAGAGGCTGTGACTATGTCGATAATAAGGACCTCTGCGGTGTGATGACGAAGAACTATCTCATGCAGATCATCAATGCTTTATTGTATATGCGTCCCGATACACTTACCAAGCGCCCTCCTTCAACCTTAAGAGAAGGCGACAGGGTCAAAAAACATCGATGCCAACCCCGACAAGTGAGCTAACTGCAAGCAACAAGATCTATCAAAAACTTATACTCTTACCCGATTATACTAGAACCGAAACGACAAAAAGAGCAGCCGCGACAACGGCCACTGTGTCGTCTACAACGGCCCAGATGAATGAGCCCAAAATGCCGCTGACTTTGCGCGAATCACTTTGTCTTGATCCGCAAAAACTCCGGATTCATATGAATAAGTCACCACTTTCAAAAACTGGGACACCAACGAGAAGCTTCGCAACCTCTATTTCACCTCTAAAGATTGCACAAGGATCTGGTCAGAGAACCGAGAGCCCACGCTAGCTATGATAGACTTCTCAGCACCGGAATATTGAACACTTTTATGAGCATCATTCAAAAATAAAGGACTGAAGCCATTTTAGGAACTCATGTACAGCCTCCCAAGGAAAAAAAACAGGATCTACACTAAACAATTACTTCGTCTGTTTCGCCAAAACACCGCTATGTCTAGGAAGATATGTTCCCTCCTGCGCTAGGACATAACTATTTATAGCACTTAGACGTCACGCACCCGACAGGCAGGTAGTTTGTGTCAGAGAAATCATAAAGAAAATGCACTTGAAATGCGTACCAGCTAGTACAAACACTACCTTCCTACAATGACGTACTCGGAAGCTCAAGCACTGCAGTCTGACCACCTGCGCGAGATTATAGTGATCGCGCTGAAGGAGTGGCGGAAGTTGTGCCAATCCTATCAACTTAGAATGCACTGAATTGCTGGTGTCTTACACCAGTAAATCCATCAAGTACTGAGAAAACGTCAACCAGCGCAGCCTGAGCAAGAAGCAATCAGCTACGCCCCTGCAGTTCACTGCAATATTCTTCCAAGCCCGCCTTTTCTAGTTCACGCAGGCCCACGTCAACATGCTGCAACGATCCAATTCCATCGGCAGCCATTGCCGGCAGTGCTATACACCAAAACACAGCGAGCTCAGTGCTTGCTGCCATATTGAAAAGCGCGTGGTGCCGTCTGTTCAAGCGCGGCAAAGTAACACTCTCAACAGCCTGGTGAGCAGACGCTCTGCAAATCAGACGCGAAACTTGACAACTCGAGTTCGACGGTAAGCATATTTCTCGCTGTTCCTGTGCTGGAATTTTATGCTGATTCCGTGTGAAACGTCGAGACGACCTTCCTCGACAGCCCGGAATGTCTGGAGCACGTGCATTGTAGACTACGGAAGCAGTTTCATCACGTACGTGAAATTGCGATTGTAAGAAACGTTAACAGCTGAAAGCGTTGCTTTCGGCTCAGTCTAACTGCGGTGTGCCTTGGCTGTGATAAGGCAGAATTTGTACTGTAAGCTGGCGTCAACGTAGCGGTAGAATCTGGTTCCAACTTACGTTCATGCATCGCATGTGTATCGATTGCCAGTCCTGCCAGACACTCAGAAAACACACGCGCTGCAAAAGTGCCAGCCCGAACAAGATATTGAAATGCAACGGTGACGCTAGCCGTAAGCACGTGTAGATTCGCCTAGTGACAGTCAAGGCATGTCACTTCGACCGAGTCGAAAGTCATACTTTCCGCGCCGTTCAGGCATTGCGATAGTAGGCCGTTGCAGTTGTACTAAGCATGCGCGGTGCATGCATCCATGCGTGAGTCGTAATACGTATATTGTAGTATTGACATGCAGCCTGCGAAAGAGTATGGCAATAGTTTTGCGCCTCATACTACAGGCATACTTCACGCAAATCGATGCTGTAAAGTGAAACAGATGGAGTCGCTCTTGAATAAACACAATACGTACACTTACTCTACACTTCACTGGGCTCGTAGTTTTTCCTGCTGTTTGCGATTATATCCTAAGACGGCGGACCTCGGCGTTTGCCGTTGTGGACGAAATTTAGTGCAATCGCAAAACACCGCACCGGCCGGATTCTCGCGATGCGCTGTGAACTTCACAAACAGTGCTCAACAATTTCTTCCTCTTGAGCTGGTTGTTGTAGTATCAGATGACAGTGCAGTGGTGCCCAGAGGACATTTTATTAGCGGGCGCAGCGTGAACAGGCACTTTTCGGCATTTTAAGCTCTCAGAGCCACTGCATTACATGCTAGCGAGGCGTGCCTTAGCCGTTGCAAACAAATTATGGCATCTCTGGGAGCGAGAGTATAGCGCCGAAGGCACCTGGGTGCGAGATAGGTGTGCTCTCATCTATAGCTGCCGCACATACGTTAGGAGGCGCCACCATCGCACGCGTCCTCCAGTGCCAAAATGACCGGGACAGCAGAATTGATAAGATAAAAGAGAAACAATGCTAGCGGCGGCAGGCAGAAGCGCCGTTCTGGGGTGCTTCACTTGAAGCGTCTTCATTCCCGTTTGCTTACAAAAAAAGGTAAATTGTTAGCGGCCTTGTGAGAAGCGTATTATTAGTACGTGTGCTTTCTTCGCTAAACTTCGTGCATCCTCAGCCGAACGCTGCCGCGTGATATCCTCGATGGAAACGATGACGGAGACGATGAGCCCGGTGATCGAAACTGCATCCGTGTAGCGCGGGTCAATTCACTCACTATACGATCAAAGCTAATCATCCAAGAGCAATTGCGGCAACAAGCTCGGCGGCATTTCAAAACAGACGACAGCAGCGATTGCACTGTCAAAGCGGCGGCCAAGGTGCTATCGCGTAGCGATGCTTTATGCTATGCTATTCTCTTCCAACACTCGTGGCTAGCTGATCGCGTTGATAACACGAATGACCCATCGCTCTGACCACTTGCCAAGTGCGAAAAGCACGAAAAGCACTGGCACCGAAAAGGCGTCGTTATGCCATGGCACCCCTGTGTGAGCGGGTGGGAATATTTCATCAAATTTGCGCTTGTTGCCAATAGAGGCGCCTTCATGAGTTGCCGCTTGAAGTCCCTTAATCAAGATCAAGGGGCTTTATTGTTGCTAGAGGTGCTTTCACAGAGCCTATAGCTCTCGTCTGTTGGTAAGCTCTACGCTTCTGAAAAGACCGAGGTACTCCGCACCCCTTAGCGCCGCCTTCTCTGCGAATAGGGAAGTATGTTCACAATAAAATAAAAGAAGGTGCGTTACAGTATAGCACTTTTGGTGCGGAAGACTTGAAACATTGTCAATGTTTTCGAACTGCAACTAGTAACTACGCCAACGTATATTTCCTACAAGCGCACTTTTTCAATAAGAAATGTATTGAAGCTGTCATGAGAACAAATTGAAGACATGAACTGTCAGACACGAACACCCATGTATGTCACTTTATTTTGAACTTGGTCCCCGTCATCTCTGCGTCATACCAATTTTTTCTCAAGTAACGAACAGAGTAGCTCACCTACGAGCCCTTCTGAAGTCTAACTATAGTTTTGTCTTCCATTTGCAGAAAAGAAAACATTGAAGCCACGTGCACTAATTCGAGAACCAAAAAGAACTAATGATACTTCAGTTGAGAGATTGCTTGCAAGAAGTCACCTCTGATGAAGGATTTCCGAAAATAAATGTCAAACCTATAAGCTTTTTCTTGAAAGTTTTGGTATCTTTTAAAGTTTATATTTTACATTGTCGTTGCCGTCTTCGTGTGCTTGTTCGTTTTTGTTGCAGAAATATGCATGCCTGATTACTGAATGACGGGACATTTTTGGCGCCTATTCTGAGACAAATAAATGTCCTTCTAAACCGCATGCCTGACAAGCGGCCACTGCCAGTTTTAATTAGAGTTGGAGATCTGCTGCAGAAAGCAGTAATATTGGATAGTTAGAGTCGCAAAACATTAAAAGAAACGGATATGTAGCCTTCGACAACTGAAGTACAGGCAAATAAGAGGTAATTAGAACGTAGTATTTCTATTTGTTTTTGTCTGCACCTGTTAGGTCTAAAGTTTACAATTTCAGTACTGCGGAAAAATGCTCTTTCTACCGAGCTCAGCATTCACAGGCGCCTCTCTGGTAAAGGGGACACTAAAGTAAAATAACAATTTATGTCAGAGGGAAAGCTCAATGTAAACAACGTCTCAACATCAGCAACAATGTCATATACTTACTGAGAAATTAAAGTAAATGCGAAAGAACACAGGCTCCATGAATAGGACATTCGCAAACTTATCCCGATTGCGTGACAGTTACCGCCTAAGCTTTATCACTGTTAGTCGAATTACCTGCACTAAATAAAAAACCTTCTGTGTATCAAAAGGCGCAATAAAATGCTGCTTTCTCGTTTCTGTTTGAATCATGAAAAAAAGAAGTGCTGGATATTATGCAATGCGGACTATTAAACGTAATAATAATTCAAAATAAGGAGTTCCTTGTCACAAAATCTAGCACTCCGAGGTTTCTTCACAGTTATTTCAGCAATCAACATCGACTTAATATTATACATTTATTTACAGCAATGTGACATCTGTCACTCATGTAAACCAGAACTACCAAATATATCAGTCTCTACTCTCTAAGGCAAAAGGGTGTTAAAAGGGTGTGTGGTTCGTCCTTTTGGGGACTAATGGTGCTGCCACAACCATTAATCCTTTTAAGGACTAACGGCACCAGGTCTTAAAGTAGTCACCTCAAGGGACTAACATTTAGTCCTTACATTTACACCTTGGTGAGTAACCGTTAGTCCTACAGTTCACCCCGAAGGACAAGCATTTAGTCCTCACATTTGTACCTGACAGAGCAACTGTTAATCCCCACATTTTTACCTTACCGGGCCACCGTTAGTCCTCACAGTTGCACCTTGCCGGACGAACGGTTGATCCAATTAAACACTCCAATCGGATGAACTTTTTGTCCCCTGTTCAAACATTGTTTTTTGTTTATTTTCTCTTCCCTAATCCTCCTCTTCTCTAATCTTCTTGGTAATTGCGCTGGACCAAGCTGTCATATTCCTTCTTTTTCCGCTTATTTCGCGGTCATTTGTGTGACTACCATAGGTGGGCATTTTCATGTGACTAATCAGGTAAGACTGTTTAAAGCCATGACTCATCACTCGTTTATCAGCAAGATGCCCTGCCTTTTTCGCCCAAATGCCAACTTGTCTGTCTCTCAATCGGTTTCGGTAAACACTGATAGAACTACTCAAGACATATTAAGTTTCAAAGCAAGCAGAAGTCAAACTGTGTACCAGAGCCATTTATCCTTTCAGCCAAGCTTTTACTCACGCAAGCGAAAAACAAACTTCAGAACTGTCGTTCGTTTTTTTATTGAACCATCTCCCAATTTCTCGGTGGACACCTTATACTTAGTGTGCCGTCTTGAATTCACTGTCATATTCGCGTGCTTCAACTGCAGAATCTCACCACTACCTTCAGCATAGCGCAACATATTTTGTTTGTCACTACAACGCCCTTGCATGTGTCCCCATGCATTTAGGTGGCTGCAGCCACCATTGTTTTTCTGAATCGCTTTTATATGCGGTGTTTGGTGCATCTCGACTAACCTTAAGTTGCTTAGCAGAAGAAGGCGCAGTTCGTCTATCTTAGGCACTTTCGCAATCATTTTGGTGAGCTTTTCTCTAACAGATTCTTTCTCTTGTAAATCTAGGTTTCCTGCGCTCACAATCCCTTATTGCAGAACGAGTATTTTTGCAGACGCAGCGCCCGGTTACCGATCTAGACGTCCAGACGGGACCTTTAAGTGCCAACCACTGGCACGCGTATGCTCGCGTCTACGCGTCAAAAGCGTCAAGTGCGCCTCTTGGCGTCGGCTTCGGAGGGGCATACGCGAGCAGGCGCGAGGGATCAAGCCGGGCTTGATATTTCGCCTCGCGTACGCTACGTCACCACGCGTACAGCGGCGCCAACCAACCAGAGGCCGCGATGACTCTGAATCCTGTGCCTAATGGCCGCCGCTTCGAAGGCACAGCCGAGTGCTGAAAGCAAGCATGAAAACTACTCCAAACGTTCCTGAATGACCGCTTCGTAATCTGGAACGACAACGAAACGACGAACGACTGCGAGTGCTACCAGCGTGACGCGGTTTCGTGCCGAGTTCGAGTGACGCCGACAAATCCAGCGAATGCCGGCCAGCTATGCTAGCGCCAGTCCCGTGTGCGATCGTCGGCCGAGCGAAAGGAGCATGTCGGTGTTCTTGTACTTTGATCTGTGACTTTCTGTGCTAAAAACGAGTGTAAAGAGACTTCGGAGGTTGGAAGGTTTGAGCGTGAGCCCTCGCCTACCGCGGAGGCAATTCAAATCGGTGTCATCAGCATCCAGCGCAGGCCTCTAACATCTAGTTCGTATGAACCAGCACATGCGAGGCACATCGGCTGAAAAAACTCTACGGTAGTTTCCGTCGCAACATAGACAACATATACGACACCCGAAATATCGCGTAGTTTACACGGAGGAGTTTTTATCTGCACTGTGTTTGTTTTCAACATCGGTATTCATCATCGCTGAAAGCGAACCTCGCACTAGCCAACACATTTCCGTGATGTGAAAACGTACGTACTTATATAAGTGTATTCGCGAATTGTATGACGCGGAAACATTCGTTGGCTTCGGTGCTAATCGTTTTCGTGTGTTGCCAAGCTAATAACAAGCGTGCGCTGGTTGGTAGCAGTGAGATGTGACTTCGTGTCGGGTACCAGCGACGCTGACACATTGAGCTGTCAGCGGTCTCATTTCCATTCACGTCCAAGACAAACTCGAGCGTGCGTTGCTGTGGTGATGGAAAAAGAAAGTTGCATGATTAAGTGCTGCTGGTATTGCCTGCTATTTCACTTCTCGCTTCTTCTGCTTCTCTGCCACGCACAGCAGCACATAAGTTGTTTGGAGGCATTCTAACACACACATTCTTAATTTATAGTTCATTCTGATACTCATAGCTATAGGCATAAAATGGCGCTTCTCCGTCGTTTTGCACTTTACTATAACGTAACGCGCGTTCTGTTTGCAGCTGGACAGATAACTGAAAACCTTGTCAGAAGCACCTGATTTGAAATCAGCTGCACGATGACACGATAGTTGGAAGAGAAGATCACCACATGTATGCACGGAATGAATGAAGGTGCACTAGTATGGTACTGCACTTTGTATAGAAGAAATGCAAAAAGTACCTCATGTGACTAATGAGACCTTTCAGAGCTGTGCATGTATTTATCTATTCCTCCAGACTGTGATGAGCTGAAGATATTCGATGGTTCCGAACATTGAATATTTGTATGCGTTTCCCAGGAGTCCTTCATTTCTGTTCAGTTTTTTAGTATATGCATTAACTTGGTTTATATATATGCATGCACTTAAGCATATTCAGTTTAGTTCTGTTGGAAAACTTGCCAAAACTTCTGTACGGTGCTCTGGTGCAATCCTTTGATCGGTATCTGTCCCATCAAAAATTTTTGGCATGCTTTATTGCATTATAGGGTATTTTGACAATTGGTGACATGTGAAAGCCACAGTGCTTGGCTGTAATCTCAAAACCAATGTGTGTCTCATCAAGAAGTGTCAGATGTATTTTGTAGATGTTAAAGGATATTTAAACTACCAGCAAAGTGCTGAAGTCTTCAACACAGCACTGATCCGCAATCACCACTCAGCTTAGAAGTCATTTGTAGAGCTCTCTAACACGTTCAAATAAAGTTATCAAACACTGGATTGATCTACTTGGTTTGATTCCTAATACCAGTGTGTCTGACTTTTTGGAGGCACTTGTATTATAATAATGTCCTATTTCTCTCATTTATTACAGGGGTGCACTCAAGGGTAGGGATATTTGTTTACCTTCGCACACTTAATGTGATATTACTGTTTAAATCCTTTCATTTTGTATATATGTACGCCACTTTTGCAGTAGCCTCACAGTGAGCAGCCGTATTTGAAAATAAATATACTATCCGAAAGTGTTCCACGCTGTGCTCAATTCCAATCTGGTCACTAATATATGTTGCATCATAATGTGTTGGGTGTGTTTTCTTGCATTGGAGAATATTTTGGCTGCCCTCCATGAAGGATTCAGTTCCAGTATTATGACCGATATCTGTTACTTCATGAAGAGTTGGGCATCATTTGTCGTTTTAGAGAATACTTTGACTAAAGACAACATCCAGAAGTCTTCCATACAGGGTTCAGTTCCAATATTTTGACCGATATCTGTGACTTCATAAACAGTTGGGTGTCACTTGTCGTTTTAGAGAATACTTTGACTGAAGACAACGCCCAGAAGTCTTCCATTAAGGATTCAGCTCTAATATTATGACCAATATCTGTGACTTCATGAACAGTTGGGTGTCGTCTGTTGTTTTAGAGAAAACTTTGACTTAAGACAACGTCCAGAAGTCTTCCACTAAGGATTCAGTTTTAATATTATGACCGATATCTGTGACTTCATGAACAGTTGGGTGTCGTCTGTCGTTTTAAAGAATACTTTGACTGAAGACAACGTCCAGAAGTCTTGCATTAAGGTTTTAGTTCTAATATTATGACGGATATATGTGACTTCATGAACAGTTCAGTGTCGTTTGTCATTTTAGAGAATACTTTGACACAAGACAACGTCCAGAAGTCTTGCATTAAGGTTTCAGTTC